TTGTCAAACCACTGTACTGGCTGGAGAACAGCTGTCAGGAGTGCTTAGGAGTGATTGGTCCCAAGGTCCCAAGGGGTGGGGGCTGGCGCTGCTCAGTCACTGGCCTCTGAGTCACCAGCAGGAGCTCAGGCTTCTGGGCCTTGTAGACCACATGGGCCAAGATTTAGCAGCAAGAGGTGAGCCCCACTTCTACAGGGGAGCCAGGCTCAGCTTTGGACTGTGGGGCCAGCCTCAGCTTGCACTCTGAGCTATGTCATGTGTATTCATGGTGTCTGAGACTCCAGGGAGGCCAAAACAGACCCCATGTTGGCTAGCATCGTAAGGAGTGTGGACCCTGCAGTCAGAGGCTCCTATCTAGCCAACCACTCACGTGAACTTGGGCACAGACTTTGGGGAAGCTATGTAAGAAGGCCCCGGGCCCCTAGGAAGCTCCCTCTGGATAAGCATAATCCTCTGAAAATCCCTCAGGATGTCTTGCCTATTTTCCAGATGAGGTGTCAAAACCAAGGCTGCCCCACCAGGGGTTTATCTTGTTTTATTCCATTAATATCCACCAGGCACCTCCCTTGGACCTTGCCTGATCTCACTCCTCCCAGAGCTGGTGGTGCTTTGCAGGCCTCCAGGCTTCTATAAGCAGACAGGCTGCAGTACAGCAGGGCAGGCCTTCGGTGGGGCTGAGCCTCAGAGCAAAGGCCCAGCTGCCCAGCTGCCTCCCCACTCCGGCATCCCCAGCTGGAGGAGAGAAAAAAGGGCCTGGGGAGGCCAGAGTGGTAACATGGGGAAGGGGGTGGGAGAGGATCACAGTTAGGGCCATGCTCTGAGGCTTGTCTGCCAGCCCAGGGGTTTGGGCTGTCTGCCCTAAAGGTAGGAGGCACACATCCCCTCCTGGCAGTTGTGGCCTCCATGCCTCTTCAGGCTCCTGTCCCACAGACTTGGAAACTAAGGCCCAGAGAGGTGGCAGCTCAGCCTCTACCTCCCTCCCCTGGTGCTCCTGCCCCTCCCTGCCTCCCCACCCCACTCCCTGCCTTCATAGCCTTTTCCCAGGCTGAACTCTGCCTCCCCCATATGCATTTGGAAAGAGGATGCTCAGGTGGCCCTTGGGGTCCAGTCTCTCTGGAGCTGATTTCACCCTGGTAAAGTGGGCTGAAGGGCAAGTGTGTGGAACATTCAGGAGCAGGCCGGCCCAGCGGACCCTCAGTGAGGGGTTGTGCAGAACTCTGGGGTGGCCCCTTCCTTTTTCTCTCCTTTTGTCTCCTCGATTGGTGGGTGCTCGCTCTGGACATTGAACAGTGCAAACAGCCCTCCCCTTTCCCCCAGCCCCAGTGATAACAACGGGCTCAGCCACTCTGGTTTGTCAAGGAAACCACCTCCCTAGTGAACTCCCTTCTTCAGCCTCACAGATCCAGAGACACTGAGGCGGAAGCAAAGGGCCCGTTGCTTTGAAGAAAGCCTGGGGTCATGGGGTCAGCACTGTTGTCTCTAGGGGAGGTTCCTGGTCTCTGCCTTGAGGCTCGGGTAACAGGAGCATCCCCGGCTGCCCCTATTAGGAGTGTTGGTTTAAGAAGCTGGGCATAGAAATGGGCCCAGCTGGGGGGAGGAGGAAGAGGAGGAAGCAGGAAAGGCCTGAGCCTCACCACCAAGCCCTGGCTCCAGTGTTCTATCTGTTGGCAGGCAAGAGGTAGACAGTGGTTTCTGGGGCCTTTCCAGCTGCTGTTCTGTGAACTAGCACTTTTCCTCTCCCCTCACCATCCCAGTGAGAACCCCCTGCCCACAGTGGAGATTGCCATCCGAAACACAGGAGATGCTGACCAGTGGTGCCCGCTGCTGGAGACCCTGACGGATGCCGAGATGGAAAAGAAGATCCGTGACCAGGACAGGAACACGAGGTACTCTCCCCTACTCCCCAGAACCCCTGCAGCTGTCTCTGCCCACAGGCACTGTTGTCTAGGCAGGTACAGAACCATCACTTTTCCCCAGTGACCCAGTTTCTTTCTGGGAGGGGACCTGTTCCCCCAGGGTGATGAGTCCCAATCTAGCCCCTAGGCTACAGGTTTCAAACCCTGCACAGAGCAAAAGTAAGCCCTCAGGTTGGTTCTGACCACAACCCAGACGCAGGTTTCAGGATCCCTGAAGAGGCTGGCAGGACCTGAGCGGGCAGGGAGTGGACAGCTTCAGGGCCCCAAGCAGCACACGGGTCCAGGCTAGGGGAATCCCACCCACCATTTCCTGTCTCTGTCTCCACTCCCCTGGCTACCCTAGAGAGCCCTGGGGGATGGCAGCTGCCCAAGGTGGGAGCTGGCCCTGGGTCACTACCCTCTCTCCTTTTGCAGGCGTATGAGGCGTCTCGCCAATACTGCCCCAGCCTGGTAACCAGTCCATCAGTGCTTGACTCCCACGGAGCGTGTTCAGAAGACCAGCCTGCCTCTCCATCTTCTGGCAAGGAGGGAGGCAAGGGGGCAGCCCAGGGCCATCCTGAGGAGCACAGGTGGGGAGGCCTTTTGGGTCGCCCTCCCCTGGCACACTTTCCATTTGCTGAGCCCTAGTTCCTACCACCCCAGTCTCTGATCAGAAAGAGGCTTCATTTTGGGTTGTGTTTTGTTTTTGTATAGGAGCCCCAGGCAGGGCTAGCAACACTTTTTAAATAAAAGGCAACAGGTCCTGTTCCATTTCTTCAAAGTGGCTGGATAAAAATAAGAATGGAGGAGAGCAGGGAGCAGGGCCTATTGGGGGTGGTGTGGCCAAAGCTGGCAGGGCAGGCCTTTCACCCTGCTCTGCCTCAGATCCCCAGGTGGGTGTTGATGGGGCTCCAGGGCTTCACTTGCAGCCACCCCAGCTGCTACAAGACCTGAATCAGAGTGTAATCCTTGCTTTTCGTTGGGCCCTCCAGTTTCCCTACCACCACCCATACTTGGATCTTTGTAGAGCAGGATAACTGAAAGGTGTGATCATAAGGCTCAGTGGACAGCGGGCCCACTTGTCTTTCAATGGCAGCCCCACCCCCATGCTCTTTGCTTGGTCTTGTGAAGCAGCCACAGGCTCTTCTGCTATCCCTTCACTCTGCTGGGTCAAGGTAATCAGGCTATCTGGGCTGGGAGCATTGCTTCTCTGGAGTCCTTTGCAGTCGCCCTATCCTATGCAGACATGCAGGGGGCATCACCAGCCTGGGTGCCTGTTCCCAGCTATTCCAGCTTTAGCAGGTGTGCAGCACTCTAGCCACACCTCCCAGTAGTGCACTTGTAACAGGTGGACTGAGACCCATCTCCACCCCTGGCTGGGACATGGCTCCTCCTCCCTCCCAAGCTAGTCATGAGAAAGGACGAATGTGGAACAGCATGGAGTAGCATGCCTGGCCAGTGCTGGCTTGTGGGGAGGGGTTATGTGTACAGGAGGCACAGTCCTGGGCCTCTTCGCAGCTCGACATCCAATGAGTTTGTCGTCACCTCTGCATCCTTACCTCATCTGTTAATGTGGAGATGTTCACATGCTACAGAAGGGACATGGGGACATGTGTGGGTCTCGATGAGTCAAGCACTGCTTGGTGAACTAGGTACACAGCTGTACTTACTAAAGACAGTGGGTCCAGACCCCCAGCACTGGGCTGGTGCCATATTCAGTTGCTGGCACATCCTTCCACAGGAACATGACAGGCCCCATGGCACCTGGTTCCTAACCTGAGTAGGGATTGGCGTTCTTGGTTGCCAGGAGGTAGGGTGAGATGGGTCTTGCCATCTGGGCTGGGGGATCCTGCGGGCATGTCCTAGGACATGACGGCTCCCAGGGGGTCTGTACGCAAGCTCCTGCCCTTCATCCAGGAGTGGAACTTGCTGGAACAAGGGGCCAGCTGGGCTTCATTGGAAGGCTCTGACAAAGATTCTAGGCCCAGGCTCAGCTAGCCTTAGAAACTAGTGGGCTCCATTAACAAGGTGTTTGCTTGGCCTATGGGGCAGGATACAACCCTGGGGCTCCAGAACTGGTGGGATGGAACAAACCCTGCCTGCCTCAGTCCCACTGGGTAGGCCAGCCCACCTGCCTGGGAGAGGCCTGGGGCTGGGCCAGCGCACTGGGCCTAGGTCTGAACCCACACTACTGCAGGGCCTGCTGCTGCTCCACAAGGTTTCCCTACAAAATTAAGGTGTACTCTGTGGCGAATATTTTTGTCACCCATGAACATATAAGCCCTGTGCTATTGCTCATTTAGGAATAAACTATAAGGCAGACTGGTCTAGGGTGACAAGGAAATCTGGCCAGGACATCTGATGCCCACTTTACAAAAGAGAAAAGTGAGATGTGGGGTTGGATAAGACTCCTGTGGTCCTCAGAAAAGGCAGGGACAGGACTTCCCAGAGTTCTCAGCTTCAGCCAGTGCGGGACTCTACTAAGGTGAAAACTTAAGGTTTTGGAGTCACAGAAAGGACAGAGGACCCAGTCCTGTCTCTCCTCTGCACCTGACCTCATGGAGCCTTGGCTACACCTACTAGTTACTGTCTCTTAGTTGCTCAGCTGGAAAATGGGGCAATGATCCACTTGGTTATTGGTGAGGGACGGGAGGGGCTGAGTGAAGCATCAGCCTGAGGGTATCATAGGCAGGAGGCCTCCCCCCTTCCCAACCGCCCTCAAGATCAGGCTTGGCACAACCAGACAGCTTGGTGCTAGTCCCTGCCACCAAGTTCTGGCCAATCCCCTCTCTGACTGGCAGAGAGCAGAGGCCCAACACAGGTGGGATTTGTCCAAGGCTTCAATGAGGCACTGGAGAGGCTGGGATGAGAACCCCATGTCTACTATCTGTGAGCTCAAAGCTCTGCTGGGCAACGATGGGCAGGTTCTTGACCCTCTCTGGGCCTTCTATCCTACCAACTACAATTGGTCTGAAAGGGTAGTCTTGGGCAAAGGGTGGGCAGGGTGGACCAGGCTTGATGGCCCTAGGTCAGGGCCAGCAGCATCTGCTCAGCATGGAAGGGTGTGGCGAGGTGAGGCAAAGGGAGCCAGTGCTGTGGGCAAAGAGGCTGCAAGTTATTCTGTTTATTGGGTGGCCAGCCTCCGGGACAGGTTGCTCTGCTGCAAGCAGGAGTTAGGGGTAGGACGGAGGCTTGCCATGTTGGGGAAACAGGCACCTGGGGCTGGCATTGGCCCCAGGTGGGGTCACTGCTGCAGGGGTCCTGGCTGCTCCTCAGGGAGGGGCAGGTAATTGGGGTCCTCTTCAGGGGTGTCCAGTAGCAGCTTCCTGTGGGGAGGAGCCTAAGCTGAGCTGAGGACAGCACAGGTCCCCCAGGGAGTCGAGAGCTGTCTGAAGGAGATTAGGGACAGGGTTGTCACCTTCAGTACTCACAGGAAGCCCGGGGTCAGCAGCAGTCTCTTGCCTCCAGGCTGGTTGGGAAAGACATCCTCTAGGAAGTAGTAGATGTGTCCCACAGCAATCCCTGTGGGAGATCTGAGGACTGCTGAGGCCGCCCTCCCTCCATGGTCCAGAGCCCAGGGCCAGCACAGCCCATTCCAGGCCTCTGTGTGCAGCCCTGGAGGCCTAGCTAGACCCAGAAAAACCTCAGGCCTCAGAGAGCATGAGTGCCCAATGTCCTGCACAGACTGCCAGCCCAGGATGGGGCTGGGGTTGGCCCTGAAGGACAGTGTTACAGGACACAGGACTTGGGGAGAGGAGGACCTGAGAACATCGGAGGAGTGGGAGCCATGGCTGAAATGCTGACCAACCCATCCCCTCCCTAATCGGGACTCACACTAGCATCAGCAGGTGAGGCCTGAAGATGTGAAGCCTGTAGGCCTGCTGGCTTGTTCAAGGGGCTATG